AACAATAATTTGAATTATTTCCATTATTGGCATAAGATCGTAACTAGTAACTATTTTCTTGGTATGTAAAGATTATAATCCTAAGTTACTATTTGTTTAGGGAAATTATCTATTAGAGTGGCGCATTAGAAATATGAACAGTTAAATCAATTTGCTGCAGAAAGAAAACAATTATATATATTTTATTAGTATGGAGGTCCAAAAAGACCCTGGTACCATTTTATAAAGTGAAATTAGATAAAATGATCACAGGAAAAATTTTTACCAGGTCTTTTGCATCTGTTGTGTGACTTTACTTATGTTTTAGAGTATTTTAACCTCTAGAGTTGTAAAAGAAATATGATATGCCAGTGAATGCTCACTGAAACTTTGATTTCTCATGCTTTTCTACCTGAAAGTCCCAAAGGACAGGATTCTTTCACTATTAGTCAAGCAGCGCTGGTCCCCTGAACCTATCTATTAATAGAAGAAAAGCAGCACAGTATCCAGAGTAGTTTTTAACTCAAAGCTTTTTCCTTTCATAATTGTGAGACACAGTGAGATCCCATGTAGTTGAGATTGGCTAGGAGCCTCTGGAATGACATGGAACTCCTGGAGGGGGTCTGTGATTGGCTTATACTCCAGGACCATCTAAAATTTTAGACCTGACTCAAATCTGATTATAACTCTTCCCTGGGACAATGTATAAGTATAGAATACCATGTTGGTACCTCAATGCAAGCTCTGTAGGCTGTGTTTTTGACACCCTACAATTGGTAGAAAGAAACATTTTTTCACTTGTCATTTGTACACCTTGTACCTAATGTACCTGTTTTACAGAAAAAATGTTTTGGATTTTTACAGAGCATACACTAATATGACAGTTTCTATTTTATTCTAAGATTGTTCTTTAAAGGTACCCATTTAATTGCCTTGAAAATTACATTATTTTATTACTCATTACAACTGAAGAATCACTATAAGTGCTTAGAACAAAAATTGAAACATTTTTTTGCATCTGTTATGCGACTT